TCCGCACCCCGCCAGCCTGTGCTGCAGGGTTTACTAGCAGAGGTGGCCAGTTGTGCTCCCTGCAGGTCTGCCCTTGACCTGGGTGACCGGGTGGTGTTAGAAGCGTGCTGTGGGTTCATTCGCCACCAGTGGCCCAGGTTTGTAGCAGAGGGGACAGAGGGGAGAATTGAAAGGGTCAAATGCAAAGGACCTGGGAAGAGTGATAAGCCAGAGAGTTGGCAACAAAGAACTTGCGGGCGGTGAGAATCCGCACGGGGAAGCCTCAGGGGCAACAAAGCAGCCTGAGGGCGGGTGGGGGCGGCGAGGGCCTTTATAAAGAACTTCCTTCTAGCCCGGTCCAGGTTTGTAGCAGAGGGGACAGAGGGGAGAATCAAAAGGGTCAAATGCAAAGGACCTGGGAAGAGCCATAAGCCAGAAAGTTGGCAACAAAGAACTTGCAGGCGGTGAGAATCCACACGGGGAAGCCTCAGGGGCAACAAAACAGCCTGAAGGCGGGTGGGGTGGCAAGGGCCTTTATAAAGAACTTCCTTCTAGCCCGGCCTGTGTGGCTCAGTGGTTGAGCGTTGACCTGTGACTCAGAAGGTCACAGGTTCGATTCCCCATCAGGGCACATGCCAGGTTGTGGGCTTCATCTCCAGTGCGGGACTTGCAGAAGGCAGCCGATCAATGATTCTCTCATTGATGTTTCTATCTCTCTCTTCCTCTCCTTTTCTCTCTGAAATCAATAAAAAAATTTTTTTAAAAAAAGAGCTTGCTTCTAATAGGATTAATTTCTTCAAGAATTTTCCCTTGAGGTTTTCCTCTAGTTATAGGTCGATAGGTGTGAATAAACATTTTAAAGCACTTTCCAGAAAATAAGCGTTCGCTCTGAGCCTGGGAGGGAGAAAGCACGGAAGGGCCACCGGCCACTGTTGGTCGAGGACGAGGACACGCCTGCGATGGCTCCAAGGAGCCGGAGGGCGGAGGGGAGTTTATGCGGGACCCGCCCTGTCTGAGCCCAGATCTGTTCCCCCAGCCACGGGCTGTGCTTTCCCCTGGCAGCGGAAGTCCGGGTGGGGAAATCCGGACATCGGGAAGAGGAGTTGGGTATGAAATAAGGGAACTCAAGATTGGGGAGAAATTGAGGTTTTGGGGGGTTTATTTTTTCTCAGCACAGTGTCATCCAAGGAGTGGGTGGGGAGGGGCACTGCAAAGCTGAGGGGGAGTTTGGGGGTCCTTTCCCCTGTTTCAGGCCGTCCCTTGACCAGCTGCACTGACCTGGAGAAAACAATTCCTTCCGCATTGCCCCAGCAGCTGGAGCCGATAAGACCAGCTGGGGGCCAGGGTGTGTGATTCCAGGCATGGCCACAGGGGGGAGACACAGGGTTGTCCAATCCCTACGTCTTGCTTCAAGGCTGAGCCCAAACAGTAGACTAGCAGACCTAGGCGTGAGGTCATTTCTAAACCCTGGCCAAGTCAGCCCCAGGTCATCACACTAAAGGCCTTGGGCGAGTTTAGAAGTAACTGCCACCTCCTTGGACCAGCTGTGAACAGACTGATGATTAACCCACATCATGTCACCTGCAAGTATTTGTCACGTTGGTCCTCGGTGCCCAGCGTAGTGCTGGGCTGTGAAGAGGAATCCGATGGTTACACGAAGGCAACACACACAACCCAGGGGGGACGCCATCCAACACCAGCACTCACACTGCGAGCCGGCCCTGGGGGTCGCGGCTCTCCCACAGGGCCACGTAAGCAACCCACTCACAGATGCTTCCGGAAAAAGAGTTATAGATATAGATATGGATATGGATATAGATACAGATGATACAGATATAGATAGATATAGATATAGATGATACAGATATAGATAGAGATAGAGATAGAGATAGAGATAGAGGTGATATAGATATAAATGATATAGATATAGACATAGAGATAGAGATAGAGGTGATATAGATATAGATATAGATGATATAGAGATAGAGATATAGAGATAGAGATATAAATATAGATGATATAGATATAGATATATAGCTATGGATAGATATAGATATAGAGCTAGAGATAGAAATAGAGATAGATAGATATAGAGATAGAGATAGAGATAGAGATATGGGTATGGGTATGGGTATGGGTATGGGTACAGATGGATATAGATATAGATGTGGGTATATGTATAGATATAAATATAGATACAGATACAGATATAGATATAACAAAACAAATGTGGGAACATGTTTTTAAAATGGGGTGAACTGAATAATCCCCCCCACACTTTGTCATCGATTTTTTCTAACTCTAACCCTCTGGCTTCCCTCCCACAAAGCCCCTTGTGATTTCACGGGCGTATAGATAGATATAGATATAGATAGATACAGATACAGATATAATAACAAAACACATGTGGGAACATGTTTTTAAAATTGGGTGAACTGAATAATCCCCCACACACTTTGTCATCGATTTTTTCTAACTCTAACCCTCTGGCTTCCCTCCCACAAAGCCCCTTGTGATTTCACGGGCCACCTGGGGAATCCGATACCCCCATTCTGTGTGTGTGTGTGAGTGCGTGTGTGTGAGTGTGTGTGAGTGAGTGTGTGTGTGTGAGTGTGTGTGTGAGTGTGTGTGTGTGTGTGTGTGTTTCCCCGTTTGCATCTCAGAGCAGCAGTAAAGAGAGAGGAAGTACGGGGATGGCTCCCATGCACAGATCACGAAAACCTGAAGATGACACCAGCAGATGAGTCCGTCCGCCCTCGGGAAAAACCTTCCGAAGCTATGGGCCCACCGCCCAGAGAAAAGTGCTCAAAGGCTCAAGTTGATTGGGATGGCAGCATCACCACGGCCGGTACCCCCAGGGGTCAGGGTCGGGCCTCCCTTTGACTTACGGGACATACTGACATACACTCCCTGCTTTTAACTCTCACTTAACATGGGTCGCAACATTGTGAAGAGTCGAAACAAAAGCCCTGAGACTGCACAGGGGAGAGGGCGCAGACAAGCTCTGAGGTCCGAACCCCCTGACGTGGAGCGAACGAGGGGTGGCTGCCCCTGTCCCGCCCAGTGCTGACCTCTGGGATGTCCCCACCCCTGGGCCCCCTCCAGCCGCTCTGCTCCTCTGGGATCAAGGGCAGGGGCTTTCTTCAATGGGGAGCCGACACCAGCAGGCATCGTTCCAATAACGCCTCTTCTCTCCCAAGATGTTGTCACCTTTATTGCTGTCTCTTGTATTAAACTCAACCTCTCAGGGTCCAGGGGAGCCGAGGACATGCCCGCTGCTGGGTCTGGGCCAGGGCAGCCTCCTTGCCTGGAGAAGAGGGGTCTGCTCTCAGGGCCAAGGGCCTCCCCGCTCTCTGCCGGTTCTCCCTCCGGCCACTGGCAGGGCCTTAGGAAGCTACTGGGAGGGACAGTCTGTGTGCGCCTCCCTGGCCTGGATCCCGCGGGGCTGAGCGCCATCGCACAGCTGGAGTGAGGCAGAGAATAGAGGGAAGATGTGACAGAGCCGGCCCATGGGAGGGTCCCCGCAGGTCCCAGCGCCAGAGGGACAGCCGATGGGAGCCCAGCCCCTTGTTGGAGGGGAGCAGGCTGAAGGGCACGTGGGGGAGGGGGGTCCCCGGGCTCCCCACAGAGACCTCCAGGCGGGGAGGCGGGAGGCCAGCTACGTCTCCCTGATGGCGCTGTATTCTGGCTCCTGCCATGTCTCCCTGATCGCGCTGTACTCTGGCTCCGGCCGTGTCTTCCTGATCGCGCTGTACTCTGGCTCCTGCCGCCGGGGCCTCTGGGAGGGACTCTGGTCCTCAGGCTCCTGATGCTGGGCGGTGAATACCACCATGGAGTAGTGCAGGTCTTCCCTGGGGGCCTGCCGTGGAGAGAGGCCTGGGCTCAGGGGGAGGTGGGGAACCACTGACTCCCAGCATAGGATGGGGGCATGCGAGGGGGCTCAGCCTTCCCCACTGTCCTGCCTTCTTTCCCCTAAAGGCCTGGATTCCGAGATCCTGCCCCCCCTCCTCCCCCTTCACACACACACACACCCGCTCAAGCCAAGCACGGAACCCAGGCATCAGGATCAGGACCGGGGTCCCTGGGACCCACCCTGAGAGCATCAGTCACCGAGTTAGGAAAAGAGGGTGTTGTAGTCCCAGGGCCACATGCCTGAGGCCTAATCTCTCCCCATCTTCCCCACCGAGGGGTCCTCTGCCCGACTTCTTCCACTAAAGGGGGTCCGTTGGGGGGCCCTGGGGGACTTCCTCCTCCAGTTCACATTACAGCGGCTCTGCCTAAGGATCGACCTGCAGCGGGTCCTTGATAGGAACTGAGAGCAGAGCTGATACCAAAGAGATGATGGGACCAAAACAGTGAGCGCTCACAGGCCTGGACACCGGGCCCATGGCACCCAGCAGGTGCTTAATAAACGCTGTGCTGTATTCGCGACCAGGACCGTAGTCACTGGCCGTCCCCCAGCCCCTCCGTCTCCCAGCCCCTCCCCCTGCGGCCACAATGGCGCCGAGCTCTGGCAAGGTCCACACCGGCCCTGGGCTCCGAACCCGAGGATATTTTCCCATTGGCTTTTAGGGAGAGAGGAAGAGGGAGGGAGAGACAGAGAAACATCCATGTGGGAGAAGCACATCCATTGGTCGCCTTTTCCACGAGCCCTGACCAGGGCCTGGGTTGGGGAGGAGCCTGCAACCAAGGTACGTGCCCTTGACCGGAATCGAACCCGGGACCCTTCAGTCCACAGGCCGATTCTCTATCCACTGAGCCAAACCGGCCAGGGCTGGTGGCTCCTTCTTAAAGTGACACAAGATCACTGTCCAGCCCTCACTTCCCTCTCTGCCCGCGGTCGCCCCAGGTGGTGCCTCTGGCATTGCCCGGGTGCCCTGCCAGGAGCGGGCGGTACTCACCACCGTGCTGTACTCCACCTCCTCCTGCTTCGGGTGCACAGGCTCTCCCTGAAGGAGCGTCTGCAGCTCCAGGTTGGCGTAGCAGGGCTCCCTCTGCAGGGCGGCCTGGGGTGGGCAGGAGGCGCGGGGCTGGGCGGCTG